AGGTGAAATAGGGTAAAACAAACCTAAACCTAATTTGAACTGAACAACTTTTTCACTGAATCAGTCACCATGACAGGGGTACACTAGTAGGCAGGTGGGCAATGAGATCAGTTTTCAGTGACATGGCCGTCTCTCAGGCATATGAGACAAATGGAATGTTTACACTTGGAAGGCAACTTACTTCTGTAATTTGTGGACTTTGGAAACAATTGGAAACATATGCTCCACTAATTAGAAGGAAGAGCCATTACCCAAATGGCCTATAATGTTGTCTGTAGCCTATCCTTCTTTTCAACTGAAGAACAATATACACCTAAACTAAAGAAATGAAGAGAGACCAATAAAAGAAGAAAATCTCTCAGTTTTGATCTGAAGAGCACAGAGATTCCCAACCATGTTGTTATTGCAATGTTCAAAGGATGAGAACTGCACCTAGGAACATATGCCAGGGGGTGGATGTCCTACTGAAAATTCTTCCTTATCTCTACAAATTCTGACAGAACCTCTCCATAAGTATAATACTCAGGTAGCACAGAGGACAATCAGGATTGCTGAACAAGGATCTGAAGCTTAGACCACTCCATTTCAAACATCTTGAGTTACTGGAACAGAAAAGAAAGCCATGAAGCTTTTCACTCTTACTGACCCTGCTGGCAGACTGCTAATTTAACAGCCAACTGGAAAAGAGGACAGGACTTTTTGTGTTGTACTGTTTTTAGTCATGGGCCACTTGCAACTATGGCTACTAATTTTTTTGCTTAAGCATATTTTGCTGTTCCTTCTGCTCTTTCTTCACAGCAAGTCAGGTCAGTCCAAAATAAAATAATTAATTAATCAACAAATGTTCAAGGATGAGGGATTTGACTTGGTACATATTGTTGAGAATTGCTGAAAAGAACTTCTATTAATTGATGCAACCCATTTAGGAAGACCTACCTTCCTTAACAATTCAAGGTCAAGATTCTAGATCAAGATTCAATTCATTTAGAATGAACCTAAACTGAGCAAAAGGAACAGAACCATGTTTGGGAAGAAAAGAATGGTCATTGTTATTCTAGCACAGGCTGAGATCAGGTTAATTTAAATAACCTCTAAATCTTTTATCCTACTTGATTTTTATTGCTTTTTAGGATTTCATAGACCATTATGAAATTATTTCACAGGCTTGATTTTTTTAATAAATTAAAAAAAAAAAAAGAACAGCTACATCACTGCCTTCTATAGCAAATATATTAGAACTTATTAAGACTAAAATTATATTTAGTAAGGAAGAGTATATTAGAAATGCTGTCTCTGTAGGTCAATCAATTAGCTTCTTACCAAAATTGCCTAAGCTGTATTATGCTTTATGACGGATATTTATGTCACAAATTACTCTCAGGGGCATATTTGGGGAGAAACTAACATACAATTAGGTCTTGGACTGCAAATAGATTTTGATTTATCTAACATACAATTGAAATAGGATTTTAAAAAATAGGTAAGCATTACTTAGAGTTACTGAGCAAAATCTTCTTGTCTTCAGTTACCTTAACTCTGGAAAAAAGAACATTATTTTGCACTTAGTTATTTTAAGAATATGTCAGTAAGTCTGCTAAAACATATGGATGACATAAAGCTCTTTTATAAAAGCAGTTACTGGTTTAACAGATGAACCATTCTAAAACTACTTAACTAGGCTTTTAGCTTTTAAGTTTGACTGCATTCTACTGTAAAGCATTTTATTGAAACCACATGATGAAGATATAAAAATGATGCTTTATTGTATGGTCTTTATTTTATAAAGCAACTCTGTCCAACATAAAAAGCACATGGAAAATCTGCTTGATGTGCTTTTCATATATCGAGTTGCACAAAAGGAATATATAATTATTACCACATACAACAGAAATAGAAATATTCCACTAAATGAAATAATTAATCTTTTTCTCCTCCTCTTCTCTTCTCTTCTCTTCTCTTCCCTTCCCCAATCCCCAGCTCTGGTTTCAAGGATTCTACTCGGCTTAGTTATTCATTTAATTCATTAAGTCTTTTTTAAGTACCAGTATCATCCGAAATCTAGAGTACATGGATGGTAAAAATACAAATTCAGTAAAAATTAACATCAACTAGCAGTTTAAAACAATAACCATTTTTGAATCAACTTCATTTCTTATAGTCAATGTTGTTTGGATCACTAATACAATTTAAATATGAAAAACCCTACATATGAAGAAAAAAGCAGTGTAATATTTAACAGAATACAACATACACACTCACATTCATATTCATGTAGCCACATTAACTCTTCTTATATTAATCTAACACAAGGAAAAATGTGGGTTCAACAAACTTTACTGAATATATAAAAACTGTAGTATACCACATTAGTGAGATATCCCATACCATAAAGCCACCCTCAATCAAATATATACCTACATAAATATTTATTGTGACTCTTCAAAAACAGTATGGCCTTGGGGTTAAAAGCATGACTGCTGGAGGAACTTTTCTCAGATGTTATAGGTAATCAGATTAAATCCCAACTTTGAATTTCAATATTGGGGGTGGGGTAGGGGAATAATTTATGGCAGTACTAAGGAATAGTACTGTAATCCATGTAAGACATTATATTTAGCAATAATTAAATGTTCTATTATAAATATTAGCATTAACTAACCTCATATCACTTTTAACCAGAGAGAAAGAGAGGCTTGTTTTGGATTGCCAAGAATAAGCAGAATTTCTTTACTATGATATAATGAGACTAGTGGAAAATCCATTTGCTTCTACTGCCACCTCTCTGTTATTTTGTGTATGTAGGAAAATAAAATAAAGTGTTAAAAATGAAACATTTTAAGCCTGACTTGATGTGATGCTTCTACAGACATCTGTCTGCCAGTCTGACTATAATGAATCTAGTAGCGTTTCCACTGTATTGAAAGCAAGCTTTTTGCCAGTCTGGAAAGCAGCAGGAATGTGTGTGGGAGAGAGGAGTCAACTGAACAAGCTGAAACTTTCTGGCAAGTGCAGAAGCAATAGTAGAAACATAAAATGAATTAAGGACATTAAAGTAATATATAAGTTATACTTCTCAGAACCCTAATGAAATATAAAGATATGGCTATAGAAGCAAACACATATGTTTTCATTCTCTTTTCTCTACATCTTTATTTTTTGGAAAAGGGATAAAAATATTGAGACTGCAACTTTAAACATGACACTTATAATATTTTTCTAAAGTAATATAAAAACTTAAACCAGTGAAAAAATTTATTTGCTCCCATTTATTCAATCTATAAATAAATAATGTGGAAATGAAGGGACCAGTGATGATACTTGCAAACATCTGTTTATTAATAGCCTGTGCTCGGATGCTAATAAACTCTTATGGGCAAATGAATAATGCTATACCTACCATTGTCTAAATCAGTCATTCACAGATATTACCAATTTGTGATTACATTATTCATATCATGCCTAGATGAATCTATCAAGCTTCAGTTAATATTTGATTTACTATGAATTGATGAATCTCACAGGAGCTAATTACTGCTTTGAATTACAGGTCTACTCTTTTGGAAACAAGTCTTCAGCTTTTTCAGGACTCCTTTTATTCCATATCTCCCACACTTTGAATTGGCACGTGTTTACTTACCAAGTCCTAACTATATCCAGGTCACCTTAGTTTGATTGAGATTGCTGTACCATATACATTCAAAGTAGGAATATGCAAAATATTCTGTGCACAGAACAGCTGGTTTTGAATGGTCCATGCCCACACCTAAACATGCATATTTCAGGTGTTTTGGTCCATGCACAATTATTTTATTCCATGCGTAGAAAAAAAACCAGGGCTGTTTTGTTCAACAGAAGTCCCAGGATGGGATGGGTTCAAAATGAATTAAGTTTCTCCATTCCATTCATCCCCCAATTCAGACTCTGTATTTCAATATTTTTATATGGCATCAAAATTCCAAGTTAAACTCTTATTTTTATTAGCACTGGTAGGGATGGGGAGTTCTGAAAGAATCTGTGCATTCCTTAAACAATCATACTTATATATGAAACAAAAATAAAGCATAAAAATGCAGAACTTTCTTTTAATAGCCCAAAATAAACTCTGAAATGCTTCCTTGGAGATAAATAGAGAAAAAAGTGGCTTCTATAGATATTTTTAAAATTCTAGCAGGTACTATCTGCAGATAGGCTGAAGAGTTAATACTGGGGGTCAGGGAGATAAATGACAGAGATACTAGGAAGTCACAGACAGATAAGAGGATGCTCTATTATAAAGTAAAAGTCAAACAGAAAAAAAACAAAGGTTGCAGATTTGAGAATAGTGTAGTCATTAAGCAGATAACCATTTAATTATATATAATTACATTTGAGAAACATAATCTGACAAATTGCATTCTTTTTCCAAAATGCTCATATTTGTCAGGCTAATATAACTGTTTTAACTGCACTCTAACAAGCAGCCATAAGCTTATTAATAAAATCATTAGAGGTACATCCCACAAAGAATCAATGTAGAATGAGGTTCCCCTGATTTAACATTTCAGTCAAGAAGCCATCCTTTTTAGTACAACACTGATAGTACAATCCACCTCCTTCCCTTTCCATGTACCACAGACCCATTTTCCATTTTTCCACAAAACAGAATTTAAGGATTCTGCTAAGCTAGTGATAGAAAAAGGAAGACCCACTAGCATCCCTTTTATGCTCTCAAGAGGGTGAAATTAAAAACTCTCTCTCACTCACTCACTGTAATGTTTTTCATGGGGGGAGGGGGGAGATTTAATGGTCAAAGCGGATGCTGTAATTCTTACAAAGGCTTAAAGTGTCCACTTCACTCCTTACAAAGCCTAAAAATCAACTAAAATTAAGGTCTGTCTGCTTCGTATGATGTCGACCAGCGTGGAAGTTGAGAAAATCATGACATACTCACAGGAATTTTATATCAAATCTTATACAAAGTATGGAATGTTTGTAAAGTTTTTTCCACTTCCCATATTTACCTTTTCATGGTTCTCAATTAGGATCTCCACCACAATGTTCTGAAATTTCAGATCCATAAGAGCAGCCACAGTTTCTTCCTGTGGCCTCATTAATGTTGGTCCAAATACAACTCCTAAATTTGCCACAGTCATAAGATTTTTCTTAGCATGATCGGAAACACTTTTCAAGAACAGAAAGAGAAAAAAACAACCAGCATTACGAAGATGAGCTACTTCAAGGTGAAAAAATACAACTACATTTCCTTGAACCATTGAACTTTTGCAACCATTCAGGATGAGGTTGTACATTTCTTCTCTTTTCTTAAAACAACAAAATCTAATAACCCTCATTTCATAAACAGAAGTGTCAAGCCAATTTACCCCAAAAATTTCAAACAGTTGTTAGAAAAATACTAACAAAAAATACAAAATGCTAACAAACTTTTTCTGCCTCTCAAATAAATAAACAAACAAACAAACTGTTGTTAGTAAAATGCTAACTATTTTATATCATTTTGGAACAGAACACACTGTTTACTTCTATTACATCCTGATTTGTGTGTCACTATACCGCATATAGCTCACGTTGGTGGAATGCATGTAGGCAACAATATCTGGCTTGCAAATTAACCTCCAGATTAGCAATCTGAGTGGGGTGAAGAGCGATATCTATGGCTCATGTAAGAGACAGACATGGCATATGGAAGACAGTGACTTGGAATTTAAGAGTAGAAAATAGTAAATAACTTGAAACAAAGAATATTAATTAGCAACTAAAATGGAAAGAGAGATGCTGTTTGTCTGTTAAACTTAAAGGAAAGATGTTACCAGGAGCAGCTGCTGCCACTGCCATCACTTTTGCCCAGTTGCTATTACAGGTGCTGCTAAGAGTGTGGCTGGGGAAGCTCCTATTTCCTCCTTCTCTGGAGTGAGAGTGGCCCTATTGAGAAGAAGTCCTTAGGAAGAGGAAAAGAGAAAGAATAGGTGGAGGAGGAAGGTAAAGCGGATATAGTCTAGTGACTAGTATAGGGTAAGTTCAAGAAGGTAGGTAGGATTGATTGGCAGAGCAGTTTGATTGGACAACTATAGCAACTGGAGTTTTGCTGAGGTGGGAGGGTATGTTGCCCAATGGACTTTCTATTCAAAGCTCTATAATTGGGGGAGGATCTGAGATAGCAAGTAGTGGTTATGAGAGTAGGAATGACTGGTAGAGGAATATATAACAGGAGGCACTGGGCTGAATGTTATAGGAGAATGGAGATAATCAATGTGATGCCAGTCCATTCTTCTAATCCACCGGCTAGTCCCTTAGGTTCCGGTTGCTGTATCAATGGATATACTGACCTGAATTCCAGGTCTCTCTGTAAAACATGGCTTGGTTGAGGAACAGTGAGCAGACCTGGTGCATACCACCAAGATCAGGTTGGGTGAGAATGGGGGAATTTCCCTGTCTGAGATTCACCTGCTAGGATTTTGAGTGCTACAGCAGCACCAACTCCAAGGATAAGAGAGAGGTGGATGATTCTATGTGAGGTTCTCAAAAAAATTATTAACATTATTTATAGTGTGCCCCAACCCCCAAGGACTCTGAACAGTGAACAGGAACAAGAAAACAAGTTTATAAAATCAACAAAATTCAATCCTCAAATCAATACTTATGATCAGCACCATCAGTTGATCCATGAACCATGAAAAAAGATTTGATGGAACAGCAGAAATTTTACTTGTTTGCAGAATTTTAACAGGATAAGGACTACATGTACTGTTGGGCTAAAGATAGTCTACTATCATGGAAAAGACCTGCCACTTAGATCAGTCACCATGAGCTTCTTGCAGACATGGGTATTCTCAGCAGGACCTCCTTAGATGACCGGCCTAGATAAACAGATTCAACTCAGGAAAGATGTTACCTAATGTACTCTGATACGGCATCATAAAGTACTTTAAAATTAATTAAGCATGCATGTGACACAGACCACTTTTTCATACTGTCAAGGGCACATCTTGAGTGGACATGGAAGAAAAGGAAAAAATGAAGGAAAAAAGAGCAAAAGTAGAATGATCACAGGAAGAGAAAGTACAAATTCTGTATGAATAAGTATCAGAAAATACATTTATCTTCCAACAGAATGAATTGAAAGTTGTCATTAGAGCAGTGTTGGTTTTGGATGTGAATATGTGTGTACACTTTTGTGTTGGAGACCATGTTCTGTTGTTGGCTGGTACCTGAATGATTTGCAGTGTACATTATATAAATCAGATAAGATGTACAGATCTGAAAATTAAAATACTGAAGACCAAATTAAGAAGTATGTGTGGTAAAACAAGAAGAAATAGGGTCAATGCTGAATAAACATGGGTTGAACATAAAAGTGAATAACCAATTTGAAAGATGTACATTGAGGTGGTTATATGAAGAGGTATAGTGAATGGTATTGGAACAAATGGCAATGGTTTTAGCTATGTTTCTTTTCCTTCTCTAATGCCTTTTATTACTTTGGCTATTTCTTAATCTTTTCTGTGGTCTGCATTAACAGTGCTTAATTTGAAAGAAAATACCATGGTAGGGATCTATGTATGTATTTATGGATTAAATTTTACTAACATAGATATATACAACAAGGCAAGCTTCACATTTGTTTTTGCTGTTTATACTGAAATATAAAATAAAATTCATCTCTGATCATAATCAGCCTCCTGGGACTGCAAAGGAAAAAATGTAAACATTAAATTATGATATAGGATGCTTACTTTGCTAAGTGTTTCACAACAATATCAAGCATTTCTTTGTTCTTTTCTGGAAGTTTATGAACCAAGGAGTGGATAATTTTAACACGGGACTCAGGGCTACCACTTTCTATATAAGAGAACAAAGCAGTAATTCTTAGTTATGCAGTTAGCACAATATATGATAAAAATTAAGTATAAACATTTTGTCTTTTTTTTCATATTTTTAAGGATATGAAGTGGAATGGTATTTTGACACTTCTTTCCTTCTCCCCAGATGCTAGGGGAAAAAATCAGTTTAGTTGTTATTCTGGTGTCCTTCTTCCATAGAAAGAAACTTCAGTAGTAAGAACTGTTAATATAGGACATTTATCATAAGAGGGTGGCTTTTTTATTCTCTTGACCTTGTTTATGACTTTCCTTAATATACAACCAAGTATCATTTGTGTTCCTGAAAACAACCCTGAGTATAATATTTAAGCACTCTGTTGAAGTGCATTACACTGAGACAATACTGATATGTCACAACCCCACATGGGACACAGTGGGAATGAAATGATGTGCAAATGAGGCCCACTACACCTATGCAGATTTGTAAGCAATTAGGTGGCAACCCTGTAATTTACACACACTATCCACTCCAGCCATTTACCTCCCATATCCTTTGGCATCATTATCTCTGTCCAGCTTCCTTTACATTCTTCCTCTCAAGCATGCTTCAAGCTTAAATGCTAAGAGGTTCCTGCAAATCTGTCTTTTACAGATCTTTGTCTTTTCTTCCTTTCTTCATATCCTCCAACTACCGTGCCTCAGGTTCTTTTCTCTTTTGAACCATTGCATATTCTTCTCCCCCTTGTTACCAGCAGGCTGTCAGTCCATTAGCTTCTTCAAGTTATAAACCTCTTTAGCCTTCCCTTTTAAGAAGTTACAGTCACAGCAAAACTGATGTTTTCTTCTCTCATAAAAGGTAGACTTAAATGTATGAGTAACTGGGTATTTCATGCCAATGTAACAGTCCACCCAATCAATGTCTAGGACTTTTTTCCCCTCTACATTAAAATATGGATTTTCTGATAGGGGGAAAAAAAAAGACACTGAAACATTTCCTCCTCCTCCTCCTGTTAAATATGGTTATTGTGACAGTCTTTTTGAAAGATTCTTGACTCAAAGTTCAAGCTTCTAATTCAACTTCATTGCATTCTGAGAGGTTACATCCAGCCTCCTTCTTGCACTTTTCATATTATATTCTTGACTTCCATATGCATGAATATATTGCAAAATCATTCTATTTAACCAATACCCCTACTATTTTTATACATGAAATGAAATCTATATTGTGTAGTGGTTTGCAGTGATGTTGTACTACTGTATAGAATGTTTTTAACATTCTGAATACTGTGTGCATTTACAGCAAACTTTATATTAGGAGCAGAAGTATCCATGATTTGTAAATGATTTTGGGTAAAGATTCTGAGTATTAAGTTACTTAACTGGCTTTCCCTGATTTCCAATCATTATTATTTTAAAAGAGATATAAAATCTAATAAGTCATATATTTACTGGCAGGAATGATGAACTCTCCATGTAACTCATATGTCATTAATGGCTCTGGAAGGCTTCTGTTAAGACAAAAGCATTGGAATAATCAAGAAAAAAAAAAGATCATGACTATTTAAATTTATGTTCAAGTTTACATACAAACATCCTAAAAAAAAAAAAAAACTATATACTCTATCATACAACACTGTACAGTATTCATTTTAATTTTGCACTGAGTCTAACCTTCCACTTAGGATGCCTTTTATAAAAAGTATAAAGAATACTCATTTCATCAGCTATTTGTCTTAGCTGCACATGAGGAAAACCTTGGAGTTTTTACCACCAGAACTAGGAAATTAGGTGTTCCTTTATATAAAGATATGATCACAAACAATATATTCTTAAAAGGATGCCATTTTTTCAACCACAAAATTTTATCATGACTATTTCCACAGACTGTACTCTCAAAGATACAAGCCACTTCTTTTTCTTTTCAACCCAAAGGAATGTTGAAAAGAAATTATGTAAAGGGGCTTGAGTGTCTGTCTGTCTATCAGCAGGACAACTCTCTAAACCTAGGACAGGACCAAACTGGGTGTGGCAGAATAAGCCAAAAGAAATATTGAGTTAATAAATCAGCTGAGGCCATAGAGAAAAAAACTCCCCATGCATTGCTATAGGAGAGGCAACTGCGCAGCAGTTTGGAATGTTGTCGACTCCTCCATTCTAAACTCCCTCCCGGTTCTTTCTGGGTCATCTGACTTGGAGCAGATTTTAAGGGGTTGGAAAGAATTCCAGAAATAATGTTCTACACGCTTTTCTAAAATTGTTTATGTTTGCATTTTTCAAAAAACATGACAACTTTCATATCTATTATAATTTCAACTGAATTACAGAAATCATCGCATATTTAATCTCACCTTAAGTACTGTTTCACTGTACTTGTTATTGTCTTCACTTCCCATTCTGTATTACCTTCCAAATCAACTTCATCACATGTTTTTGCATCTAGAAAAGAAACATAAGCAGGTAATTACTTAAGTGGTAATCAACTCGGATTTTGATCAGTTATAATTTAGATTTCAGATACTGTATGACTGAGCTTATGAAAGCACCAATAAATCAAACCATAAAGTTATTCTAATTAAGAGAATAAGCCATATACCTGTAACTATGATTCTGTCAGTAATCCTCTATGCATAGACAAGTATGGATTTTATGCCTATGCTGAAGTCTCATCAGGAATTGCTTATAATGGAGGGTTTTGCTTTTGTTTTTTTCATTACTTCTAGCCCTACTGTGCATACTTGCAGGTGATACACTCACTTTCCCCTTAATTCCAAGTGACTGATACAGCAATACTGGAATCTAGAATACCTATTAATGTAGGAACTTACAGGGGAGACGGGGGAGAGTTAATTGAGTGCACAAAAGACCACTTCAAGAATCATAATTACACCTGTTCTCTATTGTGGTCTCTGTGCATTAGATCTGGGTGACTAGCAGGCTTACTTGGGCTTACATACATTCTGGGACAAATGCCACACATTAATCCAGAATGAAAAGAAACGTTGGTATCAAACAAAGTATCATTTTGAGGTCAAACATTCAATATATAATGCTGAATGCTCCCTTGAACGAGTCTGGAAGAGATACAGGACTGCAGATATTAAACCAGCTATAGTAGAGTGATTTCTCATGAACTCTATGGTTTTGGCTGGTTACAATACATTCTCTCTAATCCAGCAGACAAAAGGGGATTCTTTCCTCAATCCAAAATAGCAGACAAACATCTGTTGCATATCACAACATGACTCTGTTGAAAGCATAAAATACCAAGGTTCAGTGGCCATCCAGTGATATCCCAATAGAATACAGATGAAAAGACACTAAGGTGAGACACTTTTGAGCATAATAGTAGTATATGGCTGGTCTTTATAAAGTGTCTAATATTTGAGATCTCTCTCTCAGGACTAACCTAAATTTAAAAGTCAGGCCTTGAAACTAAGTGATTAACTGAAGGTCAGGGTGCAGGTTCTTACTACTGTCTGTTATTAGATCCTGTGAAACAACTGGTATAGTATAGAGAACCACACTTATCTTGGCCACCAGGAAGCAATCAAGGTATTGCAGGATCTTGGTAATGGATAGAATTTCCAGCCAATATATTGTTTATTGCTTGATTCTCTGCTGCAGGACTGAGGACAATGTGTGCTGTTGCAAAGAGATCTAAAGCAAGTATTCCTTATAAATCAATGCTGAACAGGCCTCAGGTGATATTTATTGATGGGAACAACAGCTGTAGTAGCTGTCCTAAGGCCAAACTACTGCTGTAGTATGAGAACCATAATTCGAGAATGGTAAATTATCTCGAGCCATAGTTGACAAAAGATGAATTCTGGCACCTGGAGGAAGGCCATCTCAACTTAGGTTCATGCATAACAAATGAAAATTATGGGTAGGACAAACACAAGACATAACACATAAGTCAAGTCCTCTGAGCAGATGAGATATGGTGAATGTGAGAGCATAACGGACATGTGCAACAGGGATACCAAAAATGTCCTCAGCTATAAGAAGCTCCTGACAAGGCTGTAGCACAGGCTTAAAACCCTTATATGTAATGACAGAGACAATTAAGAAGAACTTTACAGTATTATTCTAACAGATGCACCAATCCATTTAATTCTTCTTACTGGAATATTCTTTTTCACCAGATCAATTATTTTAAAATGCACGTCAATTTTAGGCATTTCCTCTGCCTAAATTCATTTTTTCTGCCCATAACATTCATTTCCTCTTGCAAATCTTGATGAGCCTGAGGACAACGCAATCTAGGGAAGCTAAGCCAGGAGAGAGAATTCCTTCCTATGGTTGCATACCTATCTAGAAAAGCTTCCGTAAGACAGAAAGATGTGCTGAAACATGATGCAGTAGCAGAATGGGGTTTTGTTTCCTGCTTTCCCATAAAAAACAAGCTTTAAAGAAGAATGACTCAAGGACTTAAGGACTTAAGCACAGACCTTAGACAAAGGAAAGATCATAGGATGATAGAGGGTACCTTTCTTCATAAAATTTAATAAAACCCCATAAAATAAGACTCTATTTGAAGCATATGCAACAAAATAAAAAAAAAACAAAGAAATAATCTGCATTGTCAAAAATGTGTGTAGCAGGATCTACTTTGAGCTATTTCTCTAAGGTTTAAATTGTTTCAATCGCTTTCTCCAACAAAACAATAGATCAAGTTGGCTTCTTATGAAAATACCAAGTTTCAGCATGATTCATGTATTTTGTCTCAATGGCACCACTTCCTTTTACTTCTTAATTCTTCCTGAGGCTTTAAGAAATAAAGAGGTCTATATACCTTTCTTAAGCTCAATTTAATTGTTGATAGCAATTAAAGATACATAGTTAATAAATAATTAGCCAGACCATTTTAACAAATTAATATGGCAAGCAATATAGTCTATCATATCTGTCATATTTCCAGCAGAGACAGCCAACATCATACAGGTGGCAAGGATTTGACATACAGTAAAATAAAGTACTTTGCCATTCACATAATGTCTGGAGTAATGAAATGAATTCATTTGCTAGTTTCCTCTAGTTTTCTCTGCCAAAGAACACTGTGTTATCAGCACAGATGGAGCATGCATGCTCCTGGAGAGAAGCCTGTTGCAAACTAGCTTCTCTGAATATCAATGAATCCTTGAGAGTCAGACCAGTGCTTCTATCAAGTGACAGGCTTGGAAGACACAGAGAGCTGAAGTAATCCCAGTAGTCTGATCAGATTGCATGTACTGCCGAAAGTTGTGAACAAGAAATCTGAAAATTTCGCAGTATTGACTATTGTAGTGGGGGTTGGATAACACAGGTGAACAATTTCATCTAACTACCCACGCAATAGGAAGAATGATAAGGTATAGTTATATTTGTCTCATGATTAAATGAAAATGAAGTTTTATCAAATGGATAGGATATAAAACTTCTTAGAAAATCACCAGAACTCAAAATAAGGGTATTTCTAAACACATACAGATATGTACATTTAAATATATTTGCAGTGAAACTAGATTAATTTCAATATGAAGCAATGTTTAGAAAATATTCTTTTATCTAATTTTAAAGGTATCTAAATATACTGTCTTCATTTCATCAAAATTTTGTCATTATATAATTGGAGAAATATTGAACAAATTGCAATCAGTTTAATCTTTCTAGATTTCCTCCCACTTTTTTTTTAACGTTTGGAAAGTTAAAGGGCACAATGGGTGCCTTACGTTTTCCTTTAAGTTAAGCCCCCCCCCCCCCCCCCATCCATTAGAAAAGCCAATACCCCCAAATCAAGTACTTTCTCATTTCAGGGTGATTTAAAGAGGCAAGTAAAACTTGAAAAACCATCAAAAAGATGTATGCATATATCATGATAAAAGCAGATTTTAAAAATGTGCATACCCATCAACAAATTCAGAAGTCTCTGGACTTTTGAACTCACCCCCACAATTCTATACAATCCTTGATCATTTATACCTAGTAGAGAGACAAAAGCATAAATAAAAGTTATTGGACATAAACAAGTCATTTATATTTATTCTAAGGCATTTAACACGGTTCAGGAATGATGAACAAATTTGAAACAATTATTTGTTGACAACTAAAAACTCTTTTGCAAATTCACTTTTTCAGAAGCAGAAGAACACTCATGAGTCCTGCCTATAATCTTCCCATAGTCATCTGTTTGGCTACTGTGGAGACAAAATCCTACACTGTGTAGGTTTTTTTATCTGTTCCAGTGGAATTATATATAAAATATAAGAGATAAGATAAACTGATAATGACATCTTTAAAGAATTCAAATACATCCATGCATCACTGAAAACATTTTCAGTTCAATACACTGAAGCTAACATAAGTTCAATATCTTTCTCCCTGGTTAGTCTATGATTTAAATTACAAGCAATTTGAGCTCAGTTATCATATATATAAAAATAAATACTAACCTAGAAGATACTCCTAAATATAAGGCACTACTCAACCACTGTAAACTTCAATCACATCTTGCCTACGAAGAGTTTAGTTGCTATTATTATTAATTAAATGTATATCCCACCCAACTCCCAGCAACTCTGGGCATTTAATCACTATTAGGGACTTATCAAAGAGATAAATACATGTAGTTGTAATCTGTATTCAGTACCTATTCCAGATTTGCTGCATTTTGTCAGATACCCTGGAAATTTCAGTCAAACCAAACAAAACAGAAAAAAAAAATCAGAAGGTAAGAGAAGTGTTTGCCAATAGCAAAAAATCAGAAGAATTTTAAATGTGATTTTCCCCACAAACTTGTTGGCTCTATGAACTTACAGAGCAACAGAAAACTCTAGGCATGTGTAAACATACATCTACAAGTACAGGTAGCTACATGAAGAGATTTTGTTAAAATACACCATGAGGCACAGGAAGGAGATGAATGGAAGACCTTTCAACTATTTGTATACAATCTGATAGGAAGAAAATATATTTTAGGTCTGATAGATATAATAAACTGCAGTGTTTATATTTTAAGCTTTTTCAGTAAATAGTTTTATAACATGGAAATGCTAATACTGGTGATATAGCAGGTCTCATAATTTCTAATCATTTTTCTATGACACAATCTCAAAAGTTCCAAGTAATTGTTAGAAAATATAGTAAATCAATATGTTTTCAGGATTTGTATTTATTTCCTGCATTGCTAAAATTAAAGACATTAAAAACAAAAGTAAGTTCAATCAAGAAGATAATAATAATATAGGTCAAGCCACAAGAATATTAAGTCTGATAGTAATATAGGCATTGCTATAAAGTCACACTAATCCTGAGACCTGCAAAATAAATTTTAACAATTCTAAAATTAAAATTATCAGGCAATTTGACAAATTTTAATTTCTTGTACGTAAAACCCCAGTTTTTAATAGATAATAGACAAAGTAATTAAATTCACCAGCATGCTTTTTAGAGTTATAAAAAGAAAGAAAATATATCAATATATCCAAATTGTGCACAAGACCTCAATTTTTGTTCCTGAAAACATACGGCAAAAGTGTTACTGTGAAGCTCTTTCTCCCCTTTCAAAGACAAAGAGGATAGTTCTTTGCTAAAGATCTGGTTGGCAACAGAAATCTTTGCTATATTTGGAAAGATAAAAGGAAGCTTTAAATCCAAAGCAGTTCATTTTCCTGGCACATAACCTAAAAGGAGTAGAAAACCAACACCACCCTTGGGGCAGCCTAATGAATTTATATTCTTAAGAAATAGGAGGAAGGAGGACATGTGCCTGGGAAATAGGCTGCACTAAATGGATTTGCCAACTATATCCTGTACAGCAGAGGGACCACCTGCAGCCCCAGTGACACACACTGTCCTTTTGGCCTGCAAAACCCTGTCTGAGCAGGACTGCTGACAACTGAACACATATTTCCTACCATTTGGAAAAGCATGAACTTTAAAAGCAGCACATCAGAGTTAAAAAATTAAAACTTCCCCCCAAATCCCAGCCTCACCCACATTTTCCCCCACTACTTTGAAGCCCTCAGTCTCCTTGGCCAAAATATAAGCGAAGCCCCTGGTCGCTCAAAAGGTTGACCATTTCTGCAGTACAGGATTGCACTATAAAAATATTTCTGGCAGCTATCATTTCCTCCAATATATAGAATGTTAATGCCAAATAAAGGAGACAATGATGAGATTTCCAGACATCTGTTTCTCTGTCTAAAGCAGCTGAAGCCTCTCTATACTTCACTTTTCATGTACGTTTCTGTGAAACATACCATTTCTGACTTTCCCCTCTTCAATGGTTCAGTGCAGCTATGATTAACTGCAAAAAGTATTACTTTGTTTATCCTCCCCAGAATCTAGGCAACTGAAAACAACCAACATTAAAACCCTGGGGACTGCCTCACAAAATACAGCATACTGCTGGTTGGGAGACAATCCAGCAGACACTAATGATTAACACATGATGAGATTGCTGAGCCACTGCAGAGACAACAATTTCTCACTGTACTATCTCCATTTGCCTTTCCTAGGTCCCCAAAAAACATCCAACCTTTCAAGCTATCCCACACTGAAACACCATTTTAGTCACCAAAACTTCTAGCGATACAATTGTCCGCTATTCCTAGCCCACTGTCTGGTGTTGTTCCAACTAACGTCTTCTATTATTAAAGGGATAAAACTGCTACCTCTCTGAAGTCAGTGAAAACACCAAAGTTCTCCTTGTTGCTTTGTCCTAAGGTAGCATGAGCAAGTGCTAGTATTGCATTGTTTCCCTTAGGAGAAACAACTGGTGACTTGATATAAATTGTTATATCTGGTGATTTCCACTGCAAGTGGAGCACAATGCCCTGGACATGATACAGCACCCAGATATTTGTAATATATTGAGAAGATATTGGAGATACTCCTCCATCTATTGGGACTGAGAATCTCAATGTGTCACAGCTTGAGCCCTTTGAAAAACATGATATGGTAAAAAAATTGAATACTAACAGAATTCAACTACTGACCTGGTAATAGTGAAATTCTTAGTGGAAAAAAGTAATAAAACATAAATTTTGGTGGATCTGATCAACAGTAACATTATTTGTTATTCATAAAGCATCTTGTACTCCCAAATACTACTAGCATCTCCTAGATGTAAGGCTTATATGTGAATATGACTTAGGAGATCAAACTAACATTTGCTGATAACTTGTCCAGGATGCACAATGGTTGGTAAGATACAAGCTTTAGTCCTAGAAAGTTACAAAATCTCAGCTCTTTCACTAACAGCATATTTTGAAGAACGAATATTTTTACTGCTTATGACAGTTCTCAGTACTCTTTTAGAGCTCTTTTAAAAAGCAGTTTCAAGATTCTTATTATGTTCCTTTCAATTCCTCACCAGTGAAAATCTTGCTGTAAAAACTTCAAGGAATGATAGCTTACTGCTGCCATCTCTCTTTCCAGCAATGAACTATTATAACAAAACGCCGAAAATGCATGTAAGCCTTTAAAACTGGTATTTGGGAAGTAGAACTATGAATTCTCAGAAGAGGAAAGGAAAAGATGCATCATCCACACCACACAGAATTGCTGAGGATGCAGATAAATTAAGAATATATGAACTATTCACCTAGGTCAAAAGTGTAATTGGTACAGAAAAAAAAAAATGTATCTGATGCCTTAAGAGATCACATTGATTAAACAAGTATCAAACGTTATTTCATTCCATTTGTTCCAAGTTGCCATAATAGGTCAACAAATGTCTCAAAAAACCCCATAATCACAATATTTAATATTTCCATTTGCATGGAAAACATCCCATATCAAATCCGTAGCATTTTCAGGTGGTACTGAAGAAAATCCTATAATAAAACCCTAGAAATCCACTGCCATTCAGTGCAGGTCCTATTCAGTTAGATGAAGCAATGACTGGCTAAGAAAGAAAGCAGCTTCTTATTGGCTAAAAAAGCAAGCAACTGTCAGGTTTAGTCCAAAGAACTCCAACAGACAATGCAAATTCAATTCTGCTATGTTTATTAGCTACAACCTCTAGACAGAAATCTCCCCAGACTGAAACCTAGCTCCCAAGCCAGCCAGCCACAACACCCATGAATTCCTCAGGGAGGTGCCAGCCTCATCCTCTTGAACTTCCCACGTTCCTCTGGTAAACTAAGAACACGCTTATCTCCCCGAGCCTGGCCTTCATAATTCCATTCCATCACATCAACTCCCTTAGTGGTACAGGTAGTCCTCATTTAATGAACATTCATTTACTGATGGTTCAAAGTTACAATAGCCTTGGAAAAAGTCCTTTACAACCTGTACTTGCACTTACACCCATCACACCATCCCCACGGTCACATGATTGCGATTTGCAATCTTTTTTATAATGGTTGTTAAGCAAATCACCACAGTCATTAAGTGAACCACATGGTCCTTAAGTGAATTCTGGCAAAAAAGTCATTGGAGAAGCTGGATTCATTTAAGGACTACATGATTCACTTAACCACATTACTCACTTAATGACCATGTGATTCACTTAACAACCATCATAAAAATGGTTATAAAATCAGGCCTGGTCACGTGGTGACTTGCTTTACGACCACCCCCACTTAACTACCAATTTTCCAGTCCCCATTGTGATTGTTAAGTGAGGATTACCTGTACTAGGCCATATATCATACACTAGATCAGAGCTTCTTACATGCTACCTCTTTTTTCAACTCTACCTGTTTCTTCGGCCTGCAGACAAACATTGAGAGAAAACTAAGAGGAAGCTAAGCAACCTGAGCACTTAACTCCATTTCATGATAATAAATTTTGATGACATGGTTAACAAAAAAGCATCAGTGTTTTTTGCCATTGTGAGGTAGGAAACATAGATTTAACATATTTGATCTTTTTTAAAAATGCTCATTGTCATAATAGAACAGCCATGGGGCCACATGGAGCAAGCAGCCTCAATCACTCCATCACAGACACACTTCCTTTGGTTTATTCACCCTTGAAAATGTTCACCATTGGGAACATTCACTTCCAGCCATTAAAATGTTGTCTACATCCACACTACACTGTTGTAACCAATCACTTCTAAGTTGCCCCATTTTCATAGTTTGACTAGTTTCAAAAAGTGTGAAATTGTTTTTAAAAGCACAAACATTATCTAAAGGACCAACTGTCTTAATACAAATCTGTACAGTGGCATAAAAAAACAGCAAAAAAAAAAAAAATCTCAGTAGAGGCTCTTTTGAGGACACCACAGAGGAAAACTTTGCTCTGTGAGGGGGGAAAAAAAGAAAAAAGAAAAAAAAAACCAGGGCAGGCACAGGAGATTGCCTAAACAAGCATTCTCTTTAGGCAATCTTTCCTGTGCCTGACCCGTGTTTTTTATCCCCCCCCCCCCGGGACCGCGGCGAGGGGGAGAGGGCACAACAAAAAAGAAAGAGAGACCCAAAGGGG